ACGGATGTTGAGGACCTTTTCGCCCGCGGTGCTATTCAAGTCCTTGTCTGTACTGCGACACTTGCCTGGGGTGTCAACTTGCCAGCGCATACCGTCATTATCAAAGGCACTTCAGTGTACTCTCCAGAGAAGGGTAGTTGGGTTGAGCTCAGCCCTCAAGACGTCCTGCAGATGCTTGGCCGTGCCGGTCGTCCACAATACGACACATACGGCGAGGGCATCATTATCACAACTCAGAACGAGATACAGTACTACTTGTCACTCCTCAACCAGCAATTACCAATCGAGAGTCAGTTCGTCAGCAAGCTCGTGGACAACCTGAATGCTGAGATTGTACTGGGCAATGTCCGCAGTAGAGACGAGGGTGTCGAATGGCTTGGCTACACCTACTTGTTCGTCCGTATGCTACGTTCACCCGGCCTCTACCAAGTTGGTGCGGAGTACGAAGACGATGAGGCTCTGGAACAAAAACGAGTCGATCTGATTCATTCCGCTGCTTCAGTATTGAGGAAGTCAAATCTTATCAAGTACGATGAGAAGACCGGTAAGCTCCAGTCAACGGAGTTGGGCCGCATCGCTTCTCACTACTATATCACACACGGCTCTATGGAGACTTACAACAACCTGATTCAGCCCTCGATCACGACCATTGAGCTGTTCAGAGTCTTTTCCCTGAGTGCAGAGTTCAAGTACATCCCTGTCCGCCAGGATGAAAAGCTTGAGCTTGCCAAGTTGCTGGGCAGAGTTCCTATCCCAGTCAAGGAGAGCATCGAAGAGCCTCACGCGAAGATTAATGTGTTGCTGCAAGCCTACATCTCACGACTCAAGTTGGATGGTCTCGCCCTTATGGCTGACATGGTCTACGTTACTCAATCTGCTGGTCGTATTCTCCGAGCCATCTTCGAAATCACCATGAAGAAGGGATGGGCGTCTGTGGCTAAGACCGCCTTGGATCTTTGCAAGATGGCAGAGAAGCGCATGTGGCCAACCATGTCTCCACTTCGTCAATTCCCCAACTGTCCCAGAGACATCGTGCAGAAGTCGGAGAGAATCGAAGTGTCTTGGAGCAACTACTTTGACCTTGACCCCCCTCGGATGGGAGAACTGCTTGGCATGCCCAAGGCAGGCAGAACTGTCTGCGGCTTGGTCGCCAAATTCCCCAGGGTCGAGGTTCAGGCTCAAGTTCAGCCATTGACAAGATCGATGCTTCGAGTCGAGCTGAGCATTGCACCCAACTTTGAATGGGATGTCGAGATTCACGGCCCGGCGGAAAGTTTCTGGATCTTTGTCGAGGATTGTGATGGAGAGGATATCCTCTTCAGTGACCAATTCTTGTTGCGCAAGGAGTACGCCGAGTCCGAGTCGAACGAGCACATTGTCGACTTCACCGTGCCTATCACGGAGCCAATGCCCCCGAACTACTTCATCTCAGTTGTCTCTGATCGCTGGATGCATTCTGAAACGAGGTTGCCCGTATCATTCCACAAGCTGATCCTTCCCGAGAGGTTCCCTCCTCACACCGAGCTTCTTGAGCTTCAGCCTTTGCCTGTAGTGGCCCTGAAGGCCAAGGAGTATGCCAAGTTGTACCCTGACTGGGACCACTTCAACCGCATCCAGACGCAAACCTTCAATTCGCTATACAACACCGATCAGAACGTGTTCGTGGGTGCGCCGACGGGAAGTGGCAAGACAGTATGTGCAGAGTTTTCTCTGCTGCGACACTGGTCAAAAGCAGATGCTGGACGTGCAGTCTACATTGCTCCGTTCCCAGAGCTGATCGACTCACGCCTTGACGACTGGCAGAAGAGACTTGGCGGTCTCCGGGGCGGAAAGACCATCGAGAAGCTCACGGGAGAAACCACTACCGACTTGAAGATTTTAGAGCGCAGCGACCTGATTCTTGCGACTCCTACCCAGTGGGATGTGCTGTCCCGCCAGTGGAAGCGCAGAAAGAACGTTTCCACTGTCGAGCTCTTCATCGCAGACGAGGTTCATCTGCTCGGCAACAACATGGGATATGTCTACGAAATCATCATTTCGCGAATGCACTACATCCGAACCCAAACTGAGCTGCCGATGAGAATCATCGCGCTTGGTGTTTCCCTTGCTAATGCCCGCGACCTTGGCGAGTGGATTGACGCGAAGAAGCACGATATTTACAACTTCAGCCCGCACGTCCGCCCCGTACCCCTCGAACTCCACATCCAGTCTTACACCAACCCTCATTTCCCTTCGCTTATGCTGTCCATGGCGAAGCCGACATACTTGGCCATCACCCAGATGTCCGCTGACAAGCCCTCTATTGTGTTCGTGCCGAGTCGGAAGCAAACACGAGCGACCACGCGTGATCTGCTGACAGCCGCCTTCATGGACGATGACGAAGATCGTTTCCTACACGCTGAGGTTGAGCAGATGCGCCCCCTTCTTGATCGCATCTCCGAGGAAGCGCTCGCCGAGTCTCTTTCTCACGGCGTGGGATACTACCACGAGGCTTTGAGTCAGAGTGACAAGCGCATCGTCAAGCACTTGTACGAGCACGGAGCTATTCAAGTGCTTGTTGCTTCCCGTGACGTTTGCTGGGAGCTCAACAGTACTGCTCACCTTGTCATTGTCATGGGCACGCAATACTTCGAGGGCCGTGAGCATCGCTATGTCGATTATTCCCTGAGCGAAGTCTTGCACATGTTCGGCAAGGCACTCCGACCTTCGAAGGACGGCAGAGGCCGAGGTGTTCTCATGCTTCCGTCAGCGAAGAGAGAATTTTACAAGAAGTTCTTGAACGAGGCTCTGCCTGTCGAGTCACACCTTCACAACTACCTTCACGATGCCTTTGTCACCGAAATTAGCACGAAGATGATTGAGTCTGGAGACGATGCTATCAACTGGACGACGTTCACCTACTTTTACAGACGTCTCCTGGCTAATCCCAGCTTCTACAGCTTGACCAGCACTACTCAGGATGGTCTCAGTGACTACATGTCTGACCTTATCCAGACCACCCTGCAGGAGCTGAGCGACTCCAAGATCATTGAGCTTGACGAAGACGACGGCTCAGTCGCGCCGCAGAACGCGGCCATGATTGCGGCATACTACAACATCTCTTACATCACTATGCAGACGTTCCTCTTGTCTCTGGGCGCCAAGACCAAGCTCAAGGGCGTCCTGGAAATCATCACATCGGCTACTGAATTCGAAGCCATCCAGATCAGGAGGCACGAGGAAGGCATCCTCCGCCGGATCTATGACCGTATTCCCGTTAAGATGGCAGAGCCTGTGTACGACTCGGCGCATTTCAAAGCCTTTGTCCTTCTGCAAGCACATTTCTCGCGAATGCAGCTGCCGATTGATTTGGCCAAGGATCAAGAAGTCATCATTTCCAAGGTCCTCAGCCTACTGAGTGCAACGGTCGATATTCTCTCGTCTGACGGTCACATCAACGCCATGAACGCCATGGAAATGTCGCAGATGGTTGTGCAGGCAATGTGGGATCGCGATAGCCCCTTGAAGCAGATTCCTCACTTTACACCTGAGGTTGTGAAGGTGGCGAACGAATTTGGGTATGTACCACTTTATTCAGTGTTGATCTGCAAAGCTAACGTCGAACCCTCTCTCAGTGTAAAGGATATTTTCGACTTCATGGAAGCCATGAACCCCGAAGAGAACCCGGATTACGCCAAGTTGGTCAAGCGTCTCGGCCTCTCGCAGAAGCAGCTGGGTGAGGCTGCCGCCTTCACCAATGACAAGTACCCCGACATTGAGCTTGAACAGAGTGTCTTGGATGAGGACGATATCAGAGCCAATGAGCCTGCGTATCTTAGTGTGCAAATTCAACGACAAGTGGAGGAGGATGAAGAGTTTGACCCGACTGTGCACGCGCCGTTCTACCCAGCCAAGAAGTTGGAGAACTGGTGGCTTGTGGTTGGGGAGCAGACGACGAAGAACTTGCTTGCCATCAAGCGTGTCACGATCGGACGTGAGCTCAAGGTCAAGGTTGAGTTTACGGTGCCATCAGCTGGTAAGCACGACCTGAAGCTGTTCCTAATGAGCGACAGCTACGTCGGATTGGATCAAGAGCGCGAATTTTCCATTACGGCTGCGGAGGGTATGGACGTGGACGACAGCGACGAGGAAGAGGACGAGGAATAGACGGCTCGGCAGATGGCAGAACCATCTCGTCCGTACAATATCGCAATGTGTACTATATCGATCGAGAGAGGAGTTGGAGGTAATAGACAATTTTGGTCACACTCGGTTCTTCGCCCTTGTCAGCAATCATCTACAGGTGGTTCTTGTCCTCTTTCGACAGGGTTGAGTGGCCTGAAGTCCGGTTGCGCAGACAGTGTGCGGTGTGACAGTGGTTGCGGTGGTGCCTCAGCGGCCAAGGCGGCATAGGAACCTGGTGAATGGTCATGATTGATAACCCATCTCAAGTGGGAAAGGCACAATCAAAGTCAAGGGCGCATTTTGATCTCTTTTTCTTCAATGAACATCGAGAGTCAATGGTACCTGGTCGTGGTGCATCTATATAGGAGGCGTTATACAGGGGTCAAAGTGATATTGAAGTGAAGGAAGCGTGGCTGAGTCGAGGCAGCGGACGTTCGGTGGGCTGGGCATTGACCGGGCCGCGTCCACGCTCCTCTCACAGGCGTCGCGCAACTGAGACTCCGCGATTTAACTCGTCCTTTGGTGGATCAGCGCTGGTCACGTGTCTCCGCCATCATCCGCGTCCAACTCCAAGAGTTTCTGCGTTCATCTTTTTCCAGACCAGTGCCTTTTTCTGCCACCACAACACGGGGAGCTCCCAATCGCGCCCATCATCCTTCCTGCAGCCAGATTATCTCCTACCATCATCGCGACAACAAAAATCACGAACCGCGCGTATCACGACGCGTGTTTCTTCCTTTGATCCATCGCCATTAGTCTTTGGCGTCGCGACTTGCCTATTTACCCCATCCATACCCTTGCAACCCAGCTTCCAAGCTATCGCCACATCGCCGACCATGTCTGACGAGCCGACTACCAGCGGTCAATCCGCGCCTGCCGCGACTGAGGAGGTGGAGAAGAAGGTTGAGGGAACCTCTCATGCTGCTGAAGCTTCTGAGGCGCCCGCGACTGCTGCCAGCGACGCGAAACCATCCGAGTCTGAGGCAGCTGCCAAGGAGACCACCGAGGAGGCGCAGAAGGAGGACTCCAAGAATCAGGATTGTAAGTCTTCTCCCTGTCGCAACCCATCTTCAGCACCAGCACTTGGATATTCAATTGGCCATCTTGCTGACGCATTGCTTGACAACAGCTGAGACCAAGGAAGCGGAATCATCCGGCAAGACAGACGAACCATCCAAGGACGAGGACGCGGACGTCGAGATGAAGGACGCGACAGATGGAGCTGAGACGAAGGAGGCATCTGACCCCGTTGCCGATGATGCTGAGCAAGCGCCTGCTGCCGACGCGGACGCTGCTGATGTGACAGCTGACAAGTCCAAGTCGCGTCGGAGATCGTCCGGTATTCCGGAACACAAGGGCAAGAAGCTTAGCAAGAAGGCATCCAAGGCGAAGTTCTTCAACACCAATGCGCAACCTGGCGACCACTTCCTCGTCAAGCTTAAGGGATACCCTCAATGGCCCGTCATTGTCTGCGACGAGGAAATGCTCCCCGAGACCCTGCTCAAGAGCCGTCCCGTCACGGCGAAGCGTGCCGACGGCACGTATCGCGAAGACTTTGCCGATGGTGGCAAGCGCCAAAATGACCGCACATTCCCCGTCATGTACCTCCGGACCAACGAATTGTAAGTCAATTGATGACGCAAGTTCCCGACCCGATCAAAAGAATTTCGATGCTAACTCATATTCGTTAAGCGGTTGGGTACCAAACTCTGCTCTCCAGGAGCTGAACTCCGAAAAGGCGACCGAGCTCCTCACCGACAAAGTCAAGAAGGTCGAGCTACGTGATGCTTTCGAGCTCGCCATTGAGCAACACCCGCTTGATTACTACAAGGACGAGCTTCAGAAATACCAAGATGAACTGGCTCAAAAGCAGGCCGCTAAGGATGCCAGAGAGGCCGCGAAGAAGAACAAGAAGAAGACTCCTGCAGTCATTTCGGACGATGATATCGACATGGCTGACGCCGCGGATGAGGAAGAGGAGATCCCCGAACCCAAGGAGAAAATCAAGTCCAAGAAGAGAAAGGCCGACGAAGAAGCTATCAGCGTAAGTATCTGAAGGCATGGCAGACCTCGTCCCAAATCTGACTTCCTACAGACTCCGGCACGGACTGATTCTGCTAAGAAGCCCAAGATCAAGCTGAACATATCCTCAACTCCTAAGACGACGAACGGAACAGCTACACCAAAGTCGGCTAAAGAGTCAGCCGCTAAGCCTGCGAAGTCCAAATCATCAAAGAAGGATGGCGCCGAGAAGAAGGCGGAGAAGGAAGTACCCAAGGAGCCTGAACTTACCGCTGAAGAGAAGCACCAACGCAAGGAGGCAAGTAAAGATGATGACATGGTTCTCGGCCCCTATGCTAACACACACGACAGAAGGAGGTTCTCTTCTTGCGCCACAAACTTCAGAAGGGCTTGCTCACCAGAGATCAAGAGCCCAAGGAGGAAGAGATGAAGATGATGTCAGACTACATTACTAAGCTTGAGAGCTTCCCAGACCTTGAGGTCTCGATTATCCGGGCGACCAAGATCAACAAGGTCCTCAAGGCTATCCTGAAGCTTGATTCTATTCCTAAGGAAGAGGAGTTCAACTTCAAGAGCCGTTCGCAGACGCTCCTCGACAAGTGGACCAAGATTCTCAGCGGTGGCGATGCAGCTGCCGCGCCCGCTGCGTCCGCAACTCCGGCTCCCACCAACGGTGTAAATGGCACCTCTGGAAAGACGGAGGAGAAGAAGGAGACTTCTGCTGCTCCTAACGGTGCTAAAGAGGAGAGCAAGGAAGCTGAAAAGTCTGAGGAATCTGAGAAGCAGGCCGAAAAGGAGGCAAGTGCCAAGAAGTCCGAGGAGCCTGAAAAGGCAGAAGAAAAGCCCGAAGAGGCCGAGAAGCCTGCTGAAGAGCCTAGTGAGAAGGTATGTGGAAGTGTCTCATGAACATTGTGACATGAACTAACCAAATTCGTAGGAGGCATCTGCGGCCCCGGAAACGGATGAGGCTAAGGCTTAAGGCACCCGATCACGTTCCCGAAAATCTCGAAAGTAAAGACATGGCCCAGCCGACTGTGGGCGTCTCGGGCCATTTGGGCCTGGGCTCTTGCGTTTCCTGGCGTATACGGTTTCTCTCAAATCGCAAAAGCGATTTTAACTTGGTTTCGGTGTAAAATTACTTGTTCCCGTGTTTCTAAGCGGTGTAGCTGGGAATCATTAGACGACAAGCAAATGCGGCAGTGCCGATCTCAGACGGCATGCATCGTCTTCGTCCAGCGAAGCGGGTTCATTGTACAAAGGGGTGAAGGCGCCCCCCAGGGAGAGGAATCCAGCTCAGAAAGGACAGTCTTGGTATCCACGGATGCTCGCATTGCCTGCGGCGACCGCTTGTTTAGGTTATGATGATGGAGGTGTAGGATGGCAACAGCCTCAAAATTTTGAGGTAGAATGAAACTCACCTCATGTCAATGGTTTGCGATGTTAGGAGGGCGAGAGGACTGGTAGTCACTAGTTTAACACGGCCTAGGAGAATTGGTTTAATGTCATTTATATGGAAATCCCACAAAGAAGTGCTTGCACACCGAAGCACTATCATCTGCCAGCTTTGAGGCATCCAAATATGCCATGTCAGTGAGATGTCACCTTGGAGACGTGAGTATCCCTAATTTTGATACACACTGTATTTGTCGGCGGGTTTGCCCGATGATACACAGTGCTTAAAATCAATAAGACTGTGAATGTCCGTGCTTTGAAGATGTAGGCGACGCGTGCGAGTCAGAAAAGCGCGACCTCCATTTCAACGACACATCTCCTCGCCGCAAACCGTTCATGATAACCCGCAAAATGAGTGCTGAAGAAGACCAAGAACCTCAATTCAGGCAGGAGGATCATCAGGCGAGTGATTCTGCTCCTTAGTTTCGCGGCTGATGCTGACTGACATCTGTCCACAGGCTGCCTTCATCTTCCGGCCTCCTGGTGAAGAAGCTAGAGTGGATCGACCCGCCAAACGGCGCCGTTTGTCCAACAAGGCTGTCGTCGAAAAAGCGAATATCGCAACCTCTTCGTCATTTGTGCCTTTATTGAATGGCGAGGAATTGCCCGAGTGCGTGGCGCTCCGTGAGAAGCAATTCCAAACAAGCTGGGATCATCTCGAATCCAAGGCCCAGGTAAGTAGAGCATCATGTCTAAAACTAGAGTCATACGCTGACTACGAAATTGAAAGGAGAAACTGCGTGATGCCAACTCCGCCACTCTAGATCAAGTGACTGCTTTCATTCGTGATCAGTCTGGTTTACAGTCAGTGTGCACGACGTGGGGTTGACTTGCACTACTAATAGCATTGCAGGACAAAAATCCCTACTGCCTTCATCATCACCGGCCCGAACATCTCATCTCAGGACCTGTTGTTTGAGCAGTTATCTGAAACACTTGAGGATAACACGCGGAGCAAGTTTGTTAGACTCAAGTCATCAGAGGCGTCTAATCTAAAGGCTGCCCTCAAGAAGATCATTGAGGATGCCACATCTCGGGGATCTCTAAATGACGAGGACGTGGAAACTACATCCGGACAAGATGTGAGTTTTCTTCCTTCAGCTTGAACGATGCGACGAGAAGCTCACGAACGACAGGGCCGGAAGTATCTGAATTATGACCTCGAGGGTCTGTACGCATTCTCAACGGCGCAGAAATGCGACCACATATTTGTCTCGTTCCAGGATAGCGAAGGATTTGACAGTGCTCTGCTCTCTGATTTGATCATACTCTTCAAGTGAGTCGCTATCACAACAGACTTCAGGATCATTATTGACATCTTGAAACTAGCTCCTGGCGGTTCAAGATCCCTTTCACGCTCTTATTCGGCATCGCAACATCGGTAGAATTATTGCAGGCGCGATTACTCAAATCCGCGTGCCAACATCTTTACGGTGCTCAGTTCGATGTTGTACAAACTGGAGCAATTTTGGAGCAGATCTTCAAGCCGACTATTGCGGGATCGGATGCTGCCCTGACGTTGGGAGAAAATTTACTGCAGAGTTTCGTGGAAAGACAGCAAGATCAGGTCGCCAGCATTCAGTCGTTTATCGCATCATTCAAGGTAAGACTTCTGAAGTCATACGCTACAGTGGCCGGGCTGACAGTCTTAGTATGCATACATGTGTCACTTTTATGCAAATCCGTTGAGCGTCTTTGCTGTGGAGGACGATGAAATGAATAGCGAACTTGTCCAGGACGAACACATCGAGTCGATCCGGTCGCTCCCTTCATTTCGGCGCGAGGTTGAAAAGGCCGTTGAAGCGAAGGATCTGAGATTAGCGAGGTCTTTGTTGGAGGACGATGACATGCTGCGCGAAAAGATTTTCGACATTCCAGACAAAAAACGGGAATGGGTCACCCGCCTTCTCCGCTCGCTCAAGCTCGTCCAGGCAACAGGAGTCGTTCAAGATGACTTCTCCTCGATGTACATGAAAGCGGTGGCCGAGGGAATTTTCCCTTCGTCCGAGGGCTGGGACATTGTCGAAAGCATCAAGCGGATGCAACCGGATGACTTTGTCTCGATGCTGCAACGTGTTCAAGACGCCGTGGCCAGCGGAGATGCCCAGCTGTGTCTCACCGGATGGGAGTCCGACGCCGGGGACCTCCCTTCTCTTGTAGACAGCCTTCTCCGCGACTCAAAGGAGCTGCTCGGCAGGGCCAAAGAGGACGGTAGCACCTTGCGGAGCGCCTACAGTGGTCACAGCCGAGTCCTTCGCACCACCGTTGTTGCGCAAAAGGTGCAGCTCAGCCACGATTCGGCGGCCCTTTCCGAAGACGATAAAGCCTTTACCAGAATCGTGGACCGTGTCGCGAAAATATTCCAAGACGTCATACACTGCGAGCCGGCCGCAGAAATTTTCCTGCACGAGACATGGCTCTACGATTCCAAGACACCGTACCGCGACGTTTTCGTCCCTCGACCCCAGGATGTCTTTGAGCGGAGCCTGAAGCGACCGCAAGACTACCTCGCGTGTTCGTGTTGCAGCACCGACGAAGGCATCTCGATAACGATGCTCGTCACGTCGCTGCTGTATCATTTGTATTTGGAGACGGGTAACCTCATCAACGTCGCAGATCTGTGGTCCGCCTTCTACGCCATGGTTTCCGGTGATACGGACGGCGAAGGGAATGCCGATGAGCGGGGGGCGCTGGTGTCTTTTTACCGGGGCCTGGCGGAGCTAAAAGCACTCGGCTTTGTCAAGATGAGCAGGAAGAAGACGGACCACATCGCCAAGCTCAAGTGGCTGTAGGAGCTGAAAGGCTTGTCGACGACGGCCTGGAAATATGAAACGAGGCCGTGGTGTCATATTGCACGTCAGACGCGTAGTTCCAGGAGAGATGTTACGGGGTTGGGGATGTTGTTGATTGTTCAGTATCAGCAGGCAAAATTGATTCTTTACCTTTACAGACCACTTTTCGCATGATCAAGCAGACGGATCCTGAACCTAATTTGGAGGTGTTGAAGGGTGTCTCTTTGAACAAAATTTGTCATTGACTTGGTCTCTTTAGGGTCGAGAAAAATATTCTTCGTGTCTGTCCTTGTCTTCAATAAACCTCGAACAAGGCCATTGTACGTTGACTTCTTTGTCTATTAGTCGTCCGGACCACCACGGAACCGACTGCTCAGCCACCCCTTCACAAATCCACGCTCCCTCCGCAGATCCGCTGAGAGCACGGCTATCCGATTTACCGGTCTCTGGCTGGGCAAAAATGACTATGGAGTGTGACAGAGTGGGAGGAGGAAGGGGAGGAGAGTGGGTAGAGGAAGTATGGCGAGGAGGAAAATGGGTGGAATGGGCGGATCTTGTCTCGGAACCTCCATATTCGGGGCGGAGCTGGCTTCTTGTTGCGGCCGGCACGCGACTCGTTTCTAGGCCGGCCGGACTGGAATTTCTCAGACATTTCAGTACGCAACGAGAAGTGCGCGTAGGTAGCCCACCACCCTTCTTCCTTTCCGTCTCTGGTGTCTCTCTCCATCCCACCCCCTGTCGAGCTGTCACTTACCCGACCCTCTTCTCCCCCGCCCTCCGCCATGTCTCATGCTGATAAAGAAGAGTCAAACCACCAAAACCGCCTGGACTTGTAAGTCCGAATAGAGCGAGCGAGAGAGAGAGAGAGAACCGGCAGTCTGGTTAGGGGGGCTTATTTTCCTATAAGCCCAGGAGAAAGTAAACGCCGCTTACAACCGCGCCTGACCTTACCCAGAATGGCAAACTCTGGCCGTCAACGGACAAAGCAGTCGTGTCTCGCCTGACGTATTAGTCGTCCTGCCGCAGCCCCCTTTCCACCATTTTCCTCGTTTTGACTTCGGGTCCCAGTTGGTCGGGTCGCCTTTGGTGGAGCAAAGCGAGGAAAGTGGTCTTGATTTTCTCGTTGTGACGGTTTCTTTCCCGTCCTTGGTTGACCCTCTTTCTGCTGTTCCAGCTGCTTCTGGTCCCCATTGATCCATCATCTTTCCTCCTTTGGGGGGGGGGTGTTTGTTCTCGTTGTTTTTGTCTCTGATCAAGGTTGCTATTCCGGATCAAAGAAAAAGCATATCGAGGAAAAAGGGGAACGGCGTGTGGGAAGGTCAAATCGGCTAGTGGCCGGGTCTCGTCCCTTTGGGTTCGGTTTGCTCGCGAACATACAAGAGAGGCAGTCTTCCGCTCCTCGGTATGTAGATGCTTCACCATCGATCTCTTTCAGATTTCATTAACAAGTTTCCTATCTATCTCGAGAATCTATAGAGTCAACAACTTTTTTTTTTTACACCAACACACATTACTTCTTCTAATTCACTCTCCCGTCTGTGCAGGCATAGATCTACTCTCTAAAAGCACAGGGCCTCTTTTTTCCCATCTCCTACTCAAAGAAACCAAAAATAAGACGAGGAGAGAACGGCATCAAAGCTGAAATACGCCACAGTCTGTTCCCACGGAGATCGTCATTTTATATTTCTCAAAACATTCTACACATCACTTTTCTTTCTGCTGAGATACCATCTCA